CAATGCGCATTAATTTGCGGAGAATCAAGATTGTAATTAATTAATACCGTAACAATGATCATTATATTAACAATGTAAAAAGTATTGCTGGTCAACAAAGGCGAGAAAATTTTAACAATAAAAAACTCTAAAGCAAGAGTAAATATTACAGTAATACAAAAAACGTTCTATGAATTAAAGGTTAAAAAATCTAATATACAAAACCTTTACGACCGTGGGACACCCGTGGCCCTTTCGTAATTTTTAAAGACTTGTTTGTCATTGAAAATTGCATATACTGATAAGCATTCTCTTGGGATTAAAAAAGTGTCCTTGTTACCCCCCCACCCATGATCAATTGTTGCGAATTGAAACGATTTGATAACTTCTTAACTATCACAACTGGTGACGACCATGGGCTGCTAGAAGGTTCGATGACATTCTCTTTCTCCATATCACAAATTATCTTTTCAGCTTCCTCTCTCTTAGCCAGAGGTAGTCTTCTAGGTCTTGGCGGATGGGACGTGCTTCTACCCCTACTAGACATGTGCTCGTGCGCTGTATTTTAATAAAGATTTTTAAATTATTCCCATGTATTTAAATTTTTAACGAAAAAATTTAAGCGGTAACATAAACCAGCTAAAACTCTGATTTTGAATACTAATCTATTTGGTCAAAAGCATACCATCTGCTCTATGATCGACGACCCGCCACTGCGACCATCAGCTGGTGAAGTCAATGGACTGCTGATACACGAGTTATTAGAGCTGGCGCACACCTTTGACTAAACTATCGCACAACTGTTGTGCGATTGTCGATTGTTTCGCAGCCTTCAACTGTTTAGTTGCACAACTAAAAATCGAGTAGTGTGCGCTGCATATAAGCTCATACGAATCAAAGCGAAACTTAATAGTTGTGTCATAGTTTAGCGCGTTCCTAGGTTTCCTTTAGTCAGTTTATTATTTCAATTGGTATATTTTAACTATCCATAAATTATGGATGGAACAAAATGTATAAATTAATTTAAGATATCGATGATGCAATCACATTATAAGTGACAGATAGACGATTTATATTCTAGATTTAAATACATTCAAAGTTAAATTATTTGCTTTATGGTACCAGGATTAGATTTTAGAGAACGTCTGTGGCTCAGTGGTATAAGCACTTGTAATCTACGGGTCTTGAGTTCGAATTCCGTCATGTACCAACATGATTACCGAATTTTCGATACATAATTTACTCGACATTGTTATGGTGAAGGAAATATTGATGCAACCTGCACATATCGGTGAAGAAATTTAAAGATATTTGTGAAATCAACCAATCCGCACTTGACCAGCGTGGTTGACTGGCGTATTCACCCCTAACTTAGGCTCCATTCCACTGAAGCGATCACGTGGCGCCCCACACAATGGCCAGAAGGGAACGGAGGGGTTCAGTGAGGTATGCCCCCCACTATGGGGGGAGAGTCCCACATAACTCTCGTGTCTGCCCCGAGGCACGGAGTATGCGAAACGCATTCCCCATCGGTAAAAAAAAAAGCTCCATCCCACTCAGAGGGGACATGATGATGTAGTGTTGATGATTTCATTTTAGATATGTTTATCTAAGTACAATACTCAGTTATAACTGTCAGTTAAAATGTTAACTAGACACGCTCAAAGTTAACTTACCGTTAACACTGAGTTTAGTTAACAGTAAAGTTAGTTAATTAGCTGTCTGTTAAAGTTTCGCCTATACACGCTCTGTTTTAACTGTGTAGCGGGCTTTACAAAGATAGAAATATAATGTAATTTTTTACCAAAAAAAAAATTGAAAATTTTGATAAACGGAATCGGAAGTCATTGACTGGTAGATGATAAAAAAAGCTCTTTTAAAGGTAGAGTATTATAATTTGATTATCAAATAACAAATTTGGTTTATTTTATAATCGATAGTTTGATATAACTAGTTCCTTTGTAACAATTAAATATCTCGAAGTTATATTAATATTGTTATGTTCAGTATTTAATTTTAAAACTTATAATAATATTCAGATCAGGTTGTAAAAGTTAGCCGTGACTTTATTATGTTTTGATACTATTTTGATATATCACATATTTGAAAAATGCAGTTGATTTTTGTAAAATATCATTGTTATTATTATATTTCTCGTACTTTACAAGGAACCCTATTTAAAGTTAAAGAGATTTACGTCACGTTATTGAACTTTTATTTTACTTTATTTAAAAGCAAAAACAATAATTGTTATCTGCACTAATATTATAAAGAGGAAAGATTTTTATTTTTGGATTTTTATGTATTGATTTGTATGTATTGAAATAACTCAAAAACTACTGGGCCGATTTTAAAAATTCTTGCACAGTTAGAAAGGTAATTTATCTTTATTTATATGTATATAGGCTTTATTTTTAATTTCACGCTGGCGAAGTCGCGAGCGACAGCTAGTATTTAATAAACGAATGTTTTCCAATAATCGGCTACAAGGTAGATTCTATTCAGATATCCTTGTCATCTACATAAGATGTAACTTACTGCAAAATATGAAAAAGAATTAATCTTACCTTTTACGTAACATAAAATTTTATCAAAAGAATAGTTTTTAGCTGTAGATAAAAGTCAAATTAAAGTTTCTTTGTATCCTATAATAGGTAATAAGCGAGCAATCAACTGAATTCGTCGACATAACTAAACGACCGTTGCCCATATAAATTCGCAAAAACAAAATGCGTTGCCTAACTATAATCGACCAAGGAGCAAAGAGACAGGGAAAGAGGATGAATTACCTACAAGCGTACTTACAAGACGAAACGCTTTATTCTGCGTTTCATTCGAATGTGCGTGTCTTCTGTTCCACGTGACGCGTGTCTTCTGTTTGGCCGTGGTACTGCACCAATCGAGGCGAGACCAATTTATGCAACAAATGTTTTTGTTGGCTCTAAGACAGAACGCATCTAGAATTATGTTTTGAGGTTTAAAACCTATTAGATTGAAATTGAAATTTAAATTGAAATTTATTGAAAACTGATTAATAATTAACAATAAAAGTTATAACCAATTAAAAGATAAATACAAATAGTGATAAATGTGATTGATCTAGTGATGCCCACACTAGGCAATGCCTGTATCGTGGGCATCGAAACAGCAGGAAAAATATTTTTATACAATAATAATTAAAAACCTACGCTTACGGCGTTTCGGTATTATTATGAATTTATGAAGGAAAAATAAATATGCAAGATGATATATGATATATGTATAGAATAAATAAAATAAGATGTAACAACAAAACTAAATACTTGAGAATTAATAATATATATTATATACGTATGAATATCTGAGTTATATATATGTATGTATGTAATAATTATTTATAAACGTCCTAATAAACAAGATTACTTAGAAATGCGGAGTGTTAGGTAGAAGTTTTCAAAAGGTTCTCAGTGTCATTATAATTTAAAGTTAGCAATTGGGTATTTGGTTTATTTTTTGTTACATTCGTAAACAAATGTTTATTTTATGATGATTTGTGACTTAATAATTTTAAGTTTGAGTTTTATTTTGTTTCATTATTTCTTTTTAAATACTAATTCTATTCTCCATTCCATTCCGTATTCCATCGTAATTGTATCGAGTAAAAGAATGATGATTGGAACCAATTATTACTTATATGTTTAATATATTACATTATTTACATTGGAATGCACTACACTCTACTGGAATGCATAAGTTTCTTATTCGGTATTCGATCAGGTAATAAATAATGATTTACCATATGTGTCGTTTACGTAGATATTTACAGCATATGACGTAATTCTTGTCTTCACAGAGGTTTCTAACTTCCCTCTATTACAAGTCAGGGCCTGTTATGACGAGGGATGAACGTTAATTATTAATGTATACCGGTAGGGGTAGACTTTGAAAAAGATGGATGGATTGCGTCAAAGGTGTTGACTGAGATGTCGGATGGTAGTTATTAGGACGAAAATCCGGTACCTGAAGGGTAGGGTTGACAAGTCAGGGCCAGCAATAAGGTAGGGCATGGTGCGACAAAACAAGGCATTGCACAGAAAGGGTTTCTGAATCCTCGTCTCACATAGACTTGCTTATACTGCCTATTTTATAATAAAAGTAATATTATATTTTACGAAGTTTTATTAAAAATAATTTTAATTTTGTTTTTTTTTTCTTTAACATGTTTTCTAGCTAAAACGCTTTAAACGTCCTCGGCCGACTAGATTTAGTTACTTTTTGATCGGTTCAACAATTTTGGCATGATAAAAAAATAAGGCGTTAATAAATTAATATTCAAGTTCAAAACCGTAAATAATAGATTATGTAACATTTTAAATATATAAATACAATCAATGTGTTTAAGTTTGTTCCCAAAAATTGGGTCTCTTTTAATATATTTTGATACTATCCACCCTACCCGGCTTCGTACGGGTCCAATGCTGATACGATAATGTGTTTATTTACATCGCAATAAAAACCTCTAAACATAACAATATTTATTTACTATGTATACGTATTTAACATATAAAGCTTGCTCTTGAATCCCTCTTTATTTTTAAAAATGCACTAAAACCCTTTACATAGTTTTATAGATCTAAGCAGACATAGAGACAGAAAGCGAGAATGACTTTGTTTTATACTCTGTAAACATAATATAATTATTTTTAGGACTTCAGAGAAAGTTTGTGTCTTTTTTTAATGTTTAATGGAAATTTTTACTTACGCTTTCATAGACATTATTTTTAATGTAGACTTTATTTCCGCGTCCAATGCGTTCGTTACTGAGCGAAGTCGGGGACATGACTAGTGAATTCAATTCTGCAGTATCCTAGCGGCCGTATAAAGTTATTTGAATAAACTAGTTCGTTACGCATACTCCGTTTAGTATCTTTTCAAATGTAAATATATTTTATTCTTGACTCATTTAAAAACATACAATAGTCCTGAACAGATGTGTTATAGTGGTCCTGGTCTATTTAATATTGTGAAAGTATTGTGAATTATTCAATATGATTGAATTATTTTTAATCTTTTTGTTTTTTCTGGACGGCGGATTTGCGATTATATACGAATTAAATGGTACGTAAATTTCTTTTTTAATTTATCCATTTATATCTGTAGAAAAATAATTCTTTTTTTAATCTATGTGATAATTTAAAATATTTATTACAAATTTTATTTATTAATTAACAAAACAATAAATATCATCAATCTATACTATTATAATAAAGCGTAAACACACACTTCTTTGTTGCCTAATGCTAGCAACTACAGCATATTTTTAAATAATTTTTTTTTTAATAAAAAGCCCTACACTTACGTCACGCTTTAGGCTATAGATTTCACGGCATTAAACTTAAGGGGTAAATATTTTGGATAAAAACCCTAATGTGGGAAAGAGATTATAAGTTGCTGCCAACATCAAGGAAGCAAGGTTGCCATGGTTTGTCATAATGTCATGTTATTTTGACAGTTGCAATTGATAATTTGACACATGTAAACAATAAAATAAAATTTTCATAATTTTGGGCGGATGAATAGCACGGGAACAGCTAGTTAATTATAATGTTTTTGCTTTTAATTTATTAGTTTATTTTTAGTTAAAACATGCCAATAATGTTTCATTTACGTTTTTGTATAACACGACAATATTTTTCAAACTTTTGATTTAAAAGTTGTATGTACCATTATTAATATAATAAATGCGTCGCACTTTTAGTAGCTTTTTTATCACGTTGACGTAGTTTTACATATCGAAACATAATAAATACCACTAGATGACATTTTCCTTTTTGAGAAGTAATGGTATTAAGTACAGTCAGCTACATAAATATGTATGCATTTAAAACTTTAGTAACTTCTAAAAGCCTTCAGTTTTAATAACACGTGTCTAATGTTTATTTATACAAGTTTTGTAAATCTATACTTCTATACTAGTAGTATTATGAAGAGGGAATATTTATGTTTTTTATTGTTTTATTGAAGTAACTCAAAAACTACTAGGCCGATTTTAAAAATTCTTTCACTGTTAGAAAGGTTATTTATCTATGCGTAACACAGGCCATGTTTTTTATTACTTTTTAATACCGCGCGAACGAATTTTCGAGCAACAGCTACATATATTTTCAGATGACTGTACTTTAGATGAAAAAATTTTGCGTGAATTACTTACTTACTTTCATTTAAATGTGTGCAAGATATAATACAAGTGTAACGTTTTATTTAACATATTGAAGGTTAAATATTTGAAAAAGTTGCAAAAATATTGATTTGCATATGTCCAATTAATTCACTACCGATAGATAAAAATGAGTAAGTTTTGACATATGATAATTAAAAAAAAACTGCATTAAAATTTACCATGTAATTTGACTTATTTAACAGTGGTAGAGTCCGCTTTAACATCTTCACACCAATGGGCCGGCTCGCCCCCAGTAATACTACGACCACACAGAAACAGGCGTGAAGTGGAAGCAATTCCTCGTTTCGTCTGATGAGTGTGGTGCCGCAGGCCTAATTTTAGTCCCTTTCCCTTTCCACCCTTTTCTTAAGAGGAAAGGATGGGAAGGAAAAGTGCATTTGACGGTGGAGGAGACGCATAGGTAGGGAAAATTCTTTATGGGCGTCTCCTCCTCCGTCAATTAAGGGTAGGCAACGCATCTGCAAATGCGGATGTTTATGGGCAGCGGTCGCTTTCCATTTCGGTGGATTCAGGTGGTCGCTTGCTTGTTTGCAAACCTTATATTATAAAAAAAAAAGTTTAAAACTTAAAAATAATTTTCAAAATCGGCTCACTACGGGCGGAGTTATGCCCTAACACACGTAAAAAACATACAGACGAATTGACCTTCTTCTTTTGGGAAGTCAAAAAAGAGGCAAGGAGAAATAGAAATTTACACGTAAACAAATGTATTTAACACGCAATATTATAGTGACCCTCATGTATTATCGACCTTCAGTCCGGAAGTTAAATTAGCCTATATACAAATAAATTAACATATTTATTACAAAACTAATGTCCTCTAAATGATGAAATACACAAAACATTTTTTATTACTTTGTGCCCTTTTATATTTCATGTATACAATCTAATAGTGGTAGACGGCAATAACGTCTGTTGCTCGTTTGGGTGCAATACCACGACCACACAGAAGACAGGCGTCATGTAGAAACAAGTTTGGAGGCCTAATTTTAGTTCATTCCACCCTTTTATTATAAGGAAAAGATGGGAAGAGGATGAGAGAAGAAAAAGGTGGCGTATGGGGACGTATCGTCTTTTTCTGTGCGTCTTCTCTGTCGATTAAAATTAGGTGACACATTTGCAATTGTGAATGTTTATGGGAGGCGGAATAACTGTTTTCTTAAACACGCGTTTAACTCTGATTACCGCGGACTGATATGGACGTCAACGTAATTTTTAACATAAATATGTATAATTTTGATTAAATACTCAATTATTTATTGGCCAAAATTTGTAAGCCCTCACAAGTAATGTTTTAAATGTAATGTAAATCGAAATGCGTAAGACTCTTGAGTCATGGTGTAAAGGACTATGGTATCCCGTAATAAAAACAATTCTACTATAAATACGTGAAATATACTGAGAATCAATTAAAAAAAATATATTAAAGAAAAAGGAAACGGATGCGTGTAAAACCGCGAGTTACTACTAGACTTTTGCGTACCGTTTTTACGTTTTGTTACCTCAGACTTGTTTTGTCACTGTTTCTGGTTTTCTTGTGAACAAAACCAATAAGTAATTAATTGGATCAACTAGTTATTAAGTCGGGTTTATATTGGCTTGATTCGAATTAGTATATGACGCGTGACTTACAGTCATAAGTACGTCCACGGAATCTCCTTCCGTGAAAATCCGCATTATATTCTAGTTTAATTTAATGTCGTGTTAGTTTTTTTGGCAATCAATTACATTCTAGAATATTTACATAGATGACTAATGAATATAAATCAATTCGTGATATAATAAAGTATCCTTTTATAGAATAAATGGTATTTTAATTGAATATCTGGGATGGTATTCGTTATCTATACTAGTACAATAAAGCGTAAACACACATTACTTTGTGGCGTAGGATGTCAGCAATCACAGCATATTTTTTAAATTCAATTTCAAATTAAATTAATTACAAAAAACCCTACACTTACGATATGCGATATGCTGTATTTTCACGCTATTCAATTTAGGGGTAAATAAATTGCAAAAATTGTCATGCAGGAGGGACTAAAACTCATCCGTTAGTATCAAAGCAAGGTTGTCATGGTAACGGTACTCTTAGACAATGTCCTTCGTTGTTATTTGCGCATTTTAATTTTGACATTATTGAAAGTTTTACAAGTGTAAATAATGAAACATGTTTCTTTTTAATGTACTAGCTTTCGTCCGCGTGGAGTTCATGAAATAAAAGTTAGTAACCTATGTGTTCTTCCAGACTATCCTCTACGTATATGCCAAATTTCATCGATCTCCGTTCAGCCGTTTACAAACTCTAACTAACATCCATCCATCTCAACTTTCGCATTTATAATATTAGAAGGATTAGTAAGAGTAAGATGGAATTGCCTCACGGAAAAAGCAAGTTTAAAATAACGGGGGTTTTCCCGCAAATAACATTGAAAGAATTTATCATAATGTTGCTATAAAATACAATTTCGGACTCATCGTAATGTGCATTTAATTCCTTTCAAGTCGTACAAATATGGTATTAGCCCGATTTGTCAACGTCTATTAGGTTTTTATCAAGGTTTATGTTTGATTTTTACGTAGAAATTTGCATTGCTAAATTGAAAACAATGCATCATCAAACATTGTATTTGTATTTAGAATAAATAAAATATGTGCCAAGTACTTTGTTTAAATTAATTAAAAGACGTTAAAAGTGACTTAGTAATCGGTAATTTGTATTGTTAATACAAAAATCAGATTTCATCATACTTCATAGTAATATTATAAATGCGAAAGTTTAGATGGATGGATGTTTGTTAGAGTTTGTAGTTTAAACGGCTGAACGGATCTCGATAAAATGTGGCAAAGATGAAGAGGATAGTCTGGAAGAACACATAGGCTACTTACTTTGTGTCTTTTTAATTCTAATCAGACGGAGTCGCGGGCGAAAGCTAGTTAATAATAAAACCCTAAGTACCTATGATCTAATGACTTTAATAAAACAACAAAATAAATACTTGAACTGTTACTTTATTTAGACTTTTTTATTTTACCCAAAATAATTTCATAATGAAAATTACTGGAATTTTTAAATATCAATTATAATTAGTGTTTAATAAAGTATCTTTTGAAAAAAACTAAAAATAACTTACTTGAATGCAAGTCCAAGTATTTAGGAAACTTTACTCAGATCGTTTATCGGTCAGTTCAATGTTAACTTGGAGTTGATTAAACCGCAAACTATTTGACATATTCGTGTAATAAATCTTGCGTAACCTTCTCAATACGACGGAAATAGTTCAAAACACGTAGAATAAGATTATTTGGAAAAATTCTTAATGTAAATAAAGAAACCTTGAATTTAGAATTAGTTGTACCATATTCTGATTGTCTTATGCATTCTTAAATCAACAAAGATGTTGAAAAAAACTGCTGAAGATGTGAAAACAACAATATGCAAAATGAATTCAATTTTAATGAAAAACTTTTTTTTTTATAACATAAAGTGGCAAACGAGCAAGCGGCCACCTGAATCCGCTAAAATGGCGAAGCGACCGCTGCCCACAGACATCCACAATTGCAGATACGTTGCCTTCCCTTATACGACGGAGGAGGAAACGCACAAAAAGAGGATATTTCCCCTTCTTATGCATCTCCTCCGCCGTCAAATCCACTTCCCTTTCACATCCTCTCCGTATAAGAAAAGGGTGGTAAAGAGAAAGGGACTTAAATTAGGCCTATTTTCTTTCCTCTTTGATATTATTTGGATTGGTAATTATTTTTTGTATTGCATACCACCGCATACCGGTTTGACAATCATTTAGTAACTAAAAGTACATTGCAATGCATCAACATTGTAATGTATGTAAAAATTTTCAAAGAGGTCCACTTGAACATTGAGTACTTGAACTTTGAAACAATAAAATGAAATAAATATGTAGTTTATTTCAAAAGTACTAGAATCTATGTCTAGTATTTAATCTATGTCCTAGCTTACTTTATCTCTTATTTCTCAAATCACTTTGCGAAAATACTAACACCCTCACTCTAGACCAGGCCTGTATCGTGAGGGTTTTATACGGTGCGAGTGTAAGGGAATTACAATGATGGATTCATAGATGTTTGTCAGAGTTACACGGCTGAACGAAGCCCGATGAAACTTGGCATAGACTTAGAGGATAGTCTGGAAGAACACATAGACTTTTCACTTTTTTAATTCTATTCAGACGGAGTCGCCGGCGAAAGCTAGTAGGTTATATTGCAAGGGTAATAGCTCGTCTAACCTTAGTTTTTATGTTAACAATTAATGTTTACTATTCAAAGGGGTAGGCAGAAGTGACTTATTTGTATTTGAGGATAATAGCAATCTCTCTTTATTAGAACACACACTGCATTTTTTGTAACATATGGTAGACTAGCTTTCGCCCGCGACTCCGCCCGAATGGAATTAAAAAAACAAAAGTGAATAGCCTATGTGTTCTTCCAGACTATCTTCTACATCTGTACCAAATTTCAACGAAATCTGTTCAGCCGTTTAGGCTACAAACTCTAACAAACATCCATCTATCTAAACTTTGGCATTTATAATATTAGTATGAAGCATGATTAAAATTTACTGATACTGTGTGCGTAAAAAGTATTGGAATTTAAATATTCACAACTTATAAACATTCTGGGGAAATACAACAAACATGAAGTACCTGATCTCAGAAAAATAAACCACGAGAAGAAAAATTGAACTTCAAGAATGTTAAAATAATTACTATTGGTTTTTATTTTTAGTTAAAATCAATGAGTTTGTTTTAAGTTCCATACAACTAATGTGTATTTTGTACTAACTGTTGCTCGCGACTTTGTCCTTGCGGAATTAAAAAAATCGAGTAACCTTTATCTTACTATTATAAATGCGAAAGTTTAGATGGATGGATGTTTGTTAGCGTTTGTAGCCTAAACATCTGAACGGATCTCCATGAAATTTGGCACAGGTATAGAGCATAGTCTGGAAGAACACATAGGCTATTTTTTATCCCGGGATAAGTTACGGTTCCCGTGGGATTCATTAATATAGTTTTTTAATGTTTACTCGATCATTCTGCAACGGTTCAACATATCTTATTGAAATTTGGCACAGATATAAAACAAAGTCTGGAGTACACATGGGATAAGCTTCATCCCCGAGATATGTCCGGTTCCCGAGGGATACGTAGCTTTTTGTAATTTATATATTTCTTATGTTTTCTCATACCACGCGGACAAAGTTGCGGGCAACAGCTCGTAAATTAATATAGCCTATCGTACTCAGTGATAATGTAACTTTTTAATGGTGAAAGATTTTTTAAAATAAGAACACAAGTTTTAGATATTATTCTACACATAAATATACATTTTTTTCTTTACAATATTAATATAGCTAAAAGTATACCAAACACCATTTTAAAATTGTTAAAATGATTTAGAGCAGGCGCACACCTTTGACTAAAATATCGCACAGATGTTGTGCGATTGTCGATTGTTTCGCAGCCAATTCAACTATTTAGTTGCATGATTAAACAAGTAGTGTGCCCACCTCCATATAAGCTTATAGAATTCAAAGCGAGTTTTATTTCATGTGCGCACACTCTTATAATAAGACTCTCTTGAAAAGATTCTCGAACTTTCAATAACAAAGTGACAAAATCCTCCATCATAAATATTTAACTTCATTAAAATGACATTGAAAAAAACTTAAATAATGATAGGCGTTCACGTATAGATAAAAGGTGATTCAGAAAACATAACCTTGAAATAACAAATGGATTTACACTGCAGACAGAATAACATTATTCAACATAATTCCGTATTTAAATATTATGCATTCAATAAAATGTGTTAATTTTTTCCTTTGAAATAGATAATATTCACATTAGTACAGTTTTTATAGAAGCTAGAGAAGCTTTGCTTAAGTTTTTACTAACAAAAAAGAATTAAATCATAATTTAATTTCAGGGTGTACGGAAATTACGTGTATTTTTTTTACCATAGATTCCTTGATAACAAAATATATTATAAATAAAAAAAAATTGCTTAGTTTTCAAAACCAACCAAAACAAATAAAACCAAAAGATTTCCGTATTTTTTACTTTGTTTTCATAATATTTTTTTTAAACATAATAGAATAATTAACTATGTTCTTCTTTGCTGCAATCTTTTTAAACTGGTCATGGCATCTTGATGACCTGATTAACTAACAGCCGCCACCTTACTTTGCTCTACTTTATGTACATTAGTACCAGAGGCTTAGCCTATTCCTTTTCTCTTTCCATTCTTTTCTTATAAGAAAAGATGGGAAGGGAAAGTAGATTTGGAGATGAAGGAGACGTATAGGAAGAGGAGATATCCTGTTTACGTACGTTTCCAGCTGTTAAGGGTAGGCAGTGCATCTGCAATTGTGCATATTTAAGGCGGATTAAGGTGACTTCTTGTTCGTTTTCCACCTTATAATATAAAAAAGAACAACCACTGCTATCTTATCGGGACAATCCATCTGTAACTTTAAGAATTTAGAAAAAAAGATTAACTTGTTTTGCATAACCACGACCGACACCTGGTAGTATGAATTGGTAGTCAAAGCGTCGTTTGTCACTAAACATTTGCATTTAAATCCTATTTGTTAAATAGAAGACGGAAATTTTTACTTATGAATCAGCGAGTTGAGATAATTTCTTTAAAACGTTAAAATACTTGTTTACCTCCGACGAACCAACATCTGAAACAAAGTTAATATTTACGTTATGACTTCGATTGCTATTTTGCTATTGAACATATTTTGATTATCATAGACTTATCCGACGGGGTTACGATGAAAGATGAACGAGCCGATTCGTGCAACAAATGTTATGTTGTCTACCACTGCTTTGAGTTAAAATTTCTGAGATTACCTTTAGAGATTTCTATACTTAAAAGAGAACTTTCTTACATTTTTTTATAATATAAGGTGGTAAACGAGTAAGCGGCGACCTGAATCCACCGAAATGGAAAGCGGCCGCTTCCCATAAACATCCGCAATTGCAGATGCGTTGCCTATACTTAATTGACGGAGGAGGAGACGCACATAAAGAGGACATTTCCCCTTCCTATGAGTCTCCTCCACCGTCATATCCATTTTTCCCTTCCATCCTTTCTTCTTAAGAAAAGGGTGGAAAGGGAAAGGGTCAAAAATTAAGCCTCCGGCACCACACTCATCAGACGAAACGCGGAATTGCTTCCACTTCACGCCTGTCTTCTGTGTAGTCGAGATATCGCACCAGGCCAACTGGCCCATTTGTGCGAAGATGCTAAAGCGGGCTCTACCACTGTTAAAACATAGAATGTCTTAAAATTAACGCTTTTAAGTTATAAGTAACTGCGTAATAACAGCTGTTCAAAAGCTCCTAAAGATGTTTGACGCTTTTCAAATTAGTATTAATATATGTAAGTACGTTATCTTTATTACCTAATTAAAATATAACCATCAGAGCTGTAACTATAGACTCATCTTCTGTTGAAGTATATTTTTATTAATTTAAGATCGATTATCATAACAAATAGACCGTTCCAGTAGAGATGTCATGAGGTCAACAACCTAAAACACGTAAATACTCATTAGCATTTATTTAATTCAGACTTTAAAACTTTCCGTTTGTTCAATGTTTAAGAATTAAAAACTGTTACCAAGGACAGTAGGAAGTGATTTAAAATATAACATTATTGACTAATAAAATCATAAAAACTAATATATAAAAACCTTACGCATTTTAATTTAAATTGTCGACGATAAAATGCCATCTAGAATCTTCGCTTCACAATATCAATTATGATTTTTTACTTTACAATACATTTATCTTACTAATATTATAAATGCGAAAGTTTACATGGATAGATGGATGGATGGATGGATGGATGGATGGATGGATATTTGTTAGCGTTTGTAGCCTAAACGGCTGAACGGATCTCCATGAAATTTGGCACAGGTTTAGACCATAGTCTGGAAGAACACATAGGCTACTTTTTATCCCGGGAATAGTTACGGTTCCCGTGGGATTCATTAATTTAGTTTTTTAATATTTACTCGATTATTCTGCAACGGTTCAACATATCTTATTGAAATTTAGCACAAATATAAAGCAAAGTCTGGAGTACACATGGGATCATAAGGATCACAAGGTTCATCCCCGAGAAATGTCCGGTTCCCAAAGGAAATGTAGCTTTTTGTTATTTATATAGATCGTATGTTTTCTGATACCACGCGGACGAAGTCGCGGGCAACAGCTAGTAAATTTATAAATGTACTAATTATTGATTTAGCCAGTCACACCATCACATTTCAACAACATCTTTTGGCAACTGATTTTAATTATGTTTTCAGATACTGAATATAATAAAATGCCACCAATGTTCCGATTGGAACCGTATGCTCCGTGCGTGGAGGAGCCCGGCGGGGTTTACTGCGCGGTGGAGCTGACCCTTGTCGCGGATGATGCCAACCCGTTGATGACAATGATCCAGGTGAGATTACAACATAATGACAGCTGGCATTTAAATGTTAGACAGTATTAGTGCTACATTTAGAAGGCTTAGCGGGCTACTGTGATCTATATGGTATGCATAATTTTTGAGATCATTTCTGACCCTTTATCAATATCCTTCCCTTATCTTTTTTTAACCTTATTAAAGTAAAATATTACAGCATTTACAACAAACATTGATTAACAAACTCTAGTCAAGGTCACTTCGCTTTCCATTCAATTAAATTGTTTAGTTACGTTGACATTTGTACAGTCACTTTAAAAAAATATATAACGTTCCGACAAAGAAATAAAAGATGGCGTTAATCGGGCATATTTGACGTATGTAAGTTCACCTCCACTAAGCGGGCTAACTGTTGTGCGATTTTCAATTGTTTCGAAGTCCAGTTTAGTTGCACAATTGAAAATCGAATAGTGTGCGCACCTCCATATAACCTCATAGGAACAAAAGCGTGACTAAACAGGTGTTTAGTCAAAGGTGTGCTCTCACTCTATGGATGTAATCATTCCTTGCATTATATTATACAAGTTTAAACATTCACTAGATGTTTAAACTTTTATGTTAGTTACGTTTTACTTTCATATTAGCAAACTCAAGGTTATGTTTCCGTCAGCACAATATGTGCATATTACCTCTAATTATTCTGCAACTCACCTCATGCATTTCCTTACAAGAAATCTTGCTATGTTAATCTTAAGTACAATTACTAATCGAGATTACTAGGAAATACCTAAATATCTACAAAATAGTAACAATTAATTCGAATAAAATTGATTAGAGTTTAAAGTTTTTAAAATTGTTTTAAAATTTAACAAACCAATAAACGTATTACTGACAAATAAAACCGGTATTTGAAATACGGTTTTTATATATTTTATTTCTCTACTAATTAATTTTATACGATTGCAAATACAAAAGGCTTTTTGATCGATCGAAAAATAGACAATCATTTAAAGAAAAAATTACAATAGGTTTTTTTTTTTATATCAACAAACGAGCAAGCAGTCATCTTCATCATTTTCGTAGAATGGGAAACATAGAAACGATTACATCTCTTTTTATGCTACTTTTCCCAGGCACTCACACTCATCAGACGAAACGCGTAATTGGTTCCACTTTTTCATGTCTTGATTTAACAATTTTATTTCTAGGAATATTCAGCAAGAAGAGAAATGCACTTTAACCATTCAAGATTACACCGTGGTATTTGCGTCACTAAAACCTGCAAAGATTATCTCAGCCAGAATACTTCTGCGGACCTGAAATTGGTCCTTGAGGGATGCCTCAATGATTCTCTATGGGCAGAATATAATTTGAAAAGCAAATTGTCAAGTGAAGTTCTTTGTAACGATTTGGATAATAAAATGGATATAGACTTTGGAGATATCGCCGTTGCTGTTATTTGTCTGTCTATAGTGTTGCTACACGTTGTTGGGAATCTGTACGATTTCTTCTATGTTCCTAACAAAGATAGGAAAGGTATGTATTATTTAAATCTAAAATTAAAATCTTGTAACTTGTAGCCAATAAATTAAAATTACTTTGAAAGTAACGATCGCGAAAGTGGTGAAATCAACCTTTTAAAATTTATTTAATTATTTCAGTTGTAAAGGTTAGAGACCAAATATTTAAGAAATCCGAAGAGTTTGTGGAAATGTTGAAATGCAATTTAATTATTATTTTAATTTGTGACGAAATCGAAATATATCACCAAATGAAAACAAAATATTATTGCATTTAAATATTTTTAAAGGTTATAAATCCATTGAAATTAATATCTAGTTATGAAATATTTTTATAGCAATTAGTTGTAAGTAAATGATAGATCTTTCCGTCATACAAATTTAATTGTTGTTAATTACAAGTAATTACACCATTTGCATTACCTTCACATGTTTTAATATTGGGTAATAAGGTAACATTTCAAGTACATTTAAAATAGTAATGAGAGATGGAAGTACAAAATCATATTCACCGATATAAACGAAATAATAACTAGAATAAGGTCGTCTTTAAACGTTAACATTTCGTATCTCTTTCCAGGAAATAAATTACTTTTATGTTTCTCGATTAAACGTAACTGGAAGAAGTTAGTGGCGCCCGCAGCTGACGGCCCCGAGACACGACTTAAACGACTCAAAGGGTTTAACGGATTACGGTAAGTTCATATCTAATTAACGCATAAAATTTATATACAAACATAACTACACAAGGAAATATTTTATCACATTTTCAGAGAAAGCTTTGTTTTTTTACTACTAGCTGTTACCCGCTACGTCCGCGCCATATTAAGATAAAAAAAGTATTACTTTAATGTCCGTTTATGTCAGGTACCCTTCAGTGAAAGTTTGCTCGAAATCGGCCCAACCCATCCATCCCGTTTTGGAGGTTGCCCATAACAAAAGCGGCTTGTGGACAGACAGACAAAATTTTTTTAAGTGCGATTTTCGTTATCAGCAACGCAAATGCATCATCTTCCCGAAATCTGGAATATTTTTATTGATATTACAAACAGACACTGCAACTTTATTCCATGTATAGACAGATTTTAAAATGTATTTTGTGTGTTTTTTTTTTGCAGGACTCTGTCAATTATTATTGTCATCATTGAACATTCCTTGTTACCAGTTGTGGTTAGTTCCGAAAATCCACATAATTTCGAAAAAGTAAGTAATAACAAATACAATTTATTTATTTATTATATACAGAGGTACTAGGGGATTATAAAATTAAGCCTTGTTATTTTTCAGAAATATTACAATCTAATCAGCCATTTATTCATCGACGGTGCGCTTGTTGTACAGACATTCTTTGTAATGTCCGGTTGCCTGTTCGCATATAATTTAGAATTGTTAGCCGAGAAGCAAAAAATAACATGGACGATGATACCAAAAGGTATCATATTGCGATGGTTAAGGTAGGTTTCTAATACTACTTTTTGAGCGCGCACATCTTTGACTAAACTATACAATAACTGTTTAGTCTCGCTTTGATTCCTATCAGCTTATATGGTGTGCACACTACTCGATTTTTAGTTGTGCAACTAAACAGTTGAAGGCTGCGGAACAATCGACAATCGCACAACTGTTTTGTATAAGGGTGTGCGCTCCCTATTAAACATTGTGATTAAAATTCTTGATAGTTTTATCGTTATTTCAAATGTTTCAGACTGACACCATCGTACGCTGTCGTTCTCGCTGTGACGACGACATGGTTAAGATTTGCTGGTTCCGGTCCACTTTGGCAGGTAAATTTTATAAGTCTATTGCTCGCGACTTCTCCCGCGTGAAATTAAAAAAGCAATACAAGATATAGTCTATATTACTCACATCACATCAATCGACCTTGTGTGAATCAAATACATACAAAAATCTAAAAATACAAATCTTTACTCTTTCTTATACCAGTATAGGTAAAGATTAGTTTTAATTTTTTCAATATTTTACATTTTTCGACTTTTATCTATCGCCGTAAATGCGTTGAATCAAAATCTGGAATAGTCAATATGTGAGAAACAATGCTTTAAGATTTTTAACATATATTTCTGACATTGAAACCACGGTATGGTTGACGTCGTATTCATTTTACAGAGCACAGTTGGCGTGGAAGTAAAAGACTGTCGTCGAGACGGCTGGTTGAACCTGATCTACCTCAACAATTACATAGACGAATCACAATGTATGCCTCAGACATGGTAATTATATTTTAAATTAATTATCGCCTAACTGATTAGACTAGTTCCATAATGTTATCTATAGCTAAATCAAGAATTATTTCCAGCCGTCACTCCGCTCTGTCCCCACGTGAGAATAAAACGTTTCAACCGTCTCACCTTTTAGTCTCACTATCAACAATAAGGTGACAGATGGAACCGCTATGAAAAAAATAAGTTCCCATCGTCCCTTCTACGCAAGAAGTGGGACGGATGAAACTTTTTATTCTCACGTGGGGACTGAGCGGAGTGACGGTTGGAAATAATCCTAAATCAAGGCTTTTTATGTGTCCTTAGTTCTCCTTGATCCTCAAAGTGAATTAGAATCAGGATTACGTTCGGCCACTTTTATTGGATTTTTAACTTTGTTCATTCTAGATTTTGTTATAAGAATTATTTTTAATAACCAATCAGTTTTTATACATGTGTCGTTTTTAAATTCTTTATCTTATCGTATATCTTCTACGTCTTGCTTTGATTGAACATTAATGGTTTTATTGAATTGCTTATTGGAAATATCTTTGAGATATTTTATGATGCGAATTTGAATAATCGATTAATGTTCCGTGAATTAACTTGACTCAATACAAAAAAAATTAAGCAAAATGACAAAAGGACATCGACTTCTGCAATGTGGCTTTTAAACTATTTTTTTTTTCATACATTTGAATTTATGATCGACATATACGTATACAATAAGATTTGTTTTGTTATCAAGTTTAAACTGGTTTTACAATTCTTTAATAGCATAATAAAACATAATTAAAGAAACATTTTAATTTTATCCAATCATTTCCTTATCCCACTTACGTAGTATTAATGCACCAGGTTTTTGTCGCCATATCGATCTATTTAGTGATTACTCCCTTCTTGATATCTCTCACGCACTGGCCTACCTCTACCGGTATTCCCCTCCACATTCGAAATTAAAGTTCTCCTTGTTACATTTTTTATAACAGAAGATAACAAACACGCAAGCAGCCACCTGAATCCACCGAAATGTAAAGCGACCGCTGCCCATAAACATTCGCATTGCAGATGCGTTAAGAGGACACTTCCCATTCCTATGCGTCTCCTCCACCGTTAAATCCAGGTTTCCTTCCCATCCTTTCCTCTTAGACTAAGACTAGGCTCCCGGCACTACACTCATCAGACGAAACGCGGTATTGCTTTCACTTCACGCCTATTTTCTATGTGGTAATACCATGGTATTACACCGGGCGAGCCGCCACATTCGTGCGAAGATGTTGAAGCGGGCTCTACCACTGTTAACATTTCATACTTCCCTCCTCATAACATATCCGTACCATGCTAAACTTGTACTCGTACTCCTTTTCTACTAATATCATAACTGCGAAAATTTAGATGGATGTTTGATAGAGGTTGTAGCCTAAACGGCTTAACGGATCTCGACGATATTAGGTAGAGATTAGATCAAGAGGATACATTGTAAGCACAAGTAGACTACTTGCTTTTGTTTTTTTTTTAATTCTACGCGAACGGAGTTGCGGGCGAAAGCTAGTATTTTATAAACATATAAAAAATAACCTTAGCCTTATCACCTAAATTATGTAATCGAAAAAGAACCATACAATGTTTAAGATTTGATAGTAAATTTTAAAAGCTTTGTAATTTTATTTTCAGGTACATCGCAGCAGATATGCAGCTGTACGTGCTTGGACTTATAATCTTCTGTTTGGTGACGACGGCGGTCGCCAGACGTGTCGTCCTCACCTTGCTGTTCGTTGTCAGCGTCATCATCCCCGCCTGTCACACTTACTTCCAGAACTTGGACGCTGGATTGATCATTTCTCCAGAGTACGTATCAACTTGAGAATTACGGTAACATTAGTTTTAACTTTTCTTCTTCTATTTTAGAGGATATCCCCTCTGTAATATAAGTACTATGAATACCTCATCTTCATCTCTCTACGCTTTGCTCTACAAAGGGTCGGCAGCATCAATATTTCTTCTTTAGTCTTATTACGTTTGTCTTCTTTCATACAAAACATCCATTCTATCTCGATTCTTTTAGCAACTAAGACTACTTATGGATAATTTTACAGATTAGTTCGTGATTACTTCGTTAAGGATCCGACTTTTAATCACACGTACAAAAGAGGTCACACTAACTTAGCAAGTTACATAATGGGTCTCAGTCTAGGAATGTTGATCTACCACTTGCAGAAGAACGACTTCAGTATTGATAGATTTAAGGTAAACTAAAATGTTTACTATTTTTTTCATAACATAAACGCTAACAGATTAGTTAAAAGTACGGATTTCCGATTACTTGCTGGTGGGATCGATTCCCTGATCATTGTTTCTATTGATTACATATTTTACAGGAAACTAATTCATAATAATTTTAATATTTTGATTTCAGAAATATAAATATCTTTACTGGGCAACACTTCCAGCTATACTCATAGTTCTACCTTCGGGATCTATGTTTTATTTCTACGAAACCGAAGCTCCGATTTACTTGAAAGCAATATTTTCTGGAATAGCCAAACCTGTATTTGCTTCGATCATTTGCGTTATCGTCTTTGGAATGGCCTTTAAATTAGAAAGTAAGAAAATATTATTATATATCTATAAATGACCAATTGTCGACGGACAAACAGGAATACTAAATGAGGATTAAAATTTCAGATGTGTACCGAGGTATATTAGAATGGAAAGGCTGGGCGTCACCAGCTCGGGTCTCCTACTGCGCCTACATTCTGCACGTACTCTTTGTAAGAACGTTGACAGGCTCACGAACGACTTTGATGCACGTGTCAGTAGCCCATATTGTAAGTTCCATTTATAGACATTAACAAGGTAGCTAGTGAATTAATAACAATTCTCTAAAATCGCTTGTTTCGTGATCATATAGTAAAAAATAACGGTAAAAACGGTGTGTTGCCTATCCTTAATAGAAGAGAAGTACATATATTAGCTGGTGCTCGCTACTTCGTCCGCGTGAAATAAACAAAACAATGAAAACGTAGCTTTTGTTCCTCAGTGATAACGTAGCTTTTATGGTGAAAGAATTTTTTGGTCCAGTAGTTTTCGAGTTATTTCAATACATACAAAAATACAAATCTTTCCTTATTATAATAATAGTATTGATATTTCACTTTTCTATGTGTCTTCTCGGTCAAATCACTTCTTCATAAGAAAAGGATAGTAAGAGAATCTAAAGTTAGTCCTCCTTCACACTTATTATAGTGCAGCATTATTTCCATTTGCCGCGTGTCTTCTGTGTGGTCATAGTAAGGGGACAAGCCTGCTTATTCCTGCCTAGATTCTATTGTTACTGGCGTCAACTAAATTGTTATTTTATTTTCAGGTTTTAGTATGTCTGGGAACAGTAGTGATTACATACTTGGTTTCTTATCCATACTGGTTACTGATAGAAGCACCATCGATAGCTTTATCTAAAATAATTTTACCTTTAGCCAAAGTGAAGAAAGACATTGAAAATGATCCTTCAAAGAGGGAAAGGAATCACGCTTAGGGATGCTGTACACGGGTAGCTGCGAGGCATCATTTTATAGGCGAACCAGTTAACTGTACTCAAGAAGCACGACCGTGTATATTAGCCCTTATAACTAAGATCCTTTACAGTGATAGAACAAGATATATATGGAGATTATTGTTGTAGAAATAATTCTAGGAATATTTTCATAGTGTATTAATTTGTACAAATAGATGTAAGCTAGAAAAAATATATTCTTAAGTAGCATGTGCTTAATAAGTATAATACTTATTTATTTCAATTTGATGAAGTGATAAAACTTTTAAAAACAGTGATAAATATTACTATTAAGTAAATAATATTTTAAGAAACTATAGAGTACTTAAAGAACAATAAACTAGTCTTAGTAATGTAGAAAAACGCTTAAATGCAAATGTAAATATTAAAAAATAGTAAAATAATGTGTTTTTTTTATATATCCTCTAAGTTTAATAGTAACACATAAAAAAAACTCAAAATCCTTTTCCACCTAAAGTTTAATATTTCATATTTCTTAAATTAAATAAATAACATTAGATTTTTTTTTATAATATAAGGTAAGGTTTGCAAACGAGCAAGCGGCTACCTGAATCCACTGAAATGGAAAGCGACCACTGCACATAAACATCCGCAATTGCAGATGCGCTACCTACCTTTAATTGACGGTGGAGGTGACGCACATAATGCGTCTCCTCCACCGTCAAATCCACTTTACCTTCCCATCCTTTCCCTTTTAAGAAAAGGATGGAAAGAGAAAAGGACTAAAATTAGGTCTCCGGCACCACACTCATCAGACGAAACGCGGAATTGCTTGCACTTCACGCCTGTTTTCTGTGTGGTCGTGGTATTACACCGGGCGAGCCGGCCCATTCGTGTGAAGATATTAAAGCGGGCTCTACCACTATTAGATTATATAATTTATATGAACATCTCTATTGCTATAATTTTTCAACGATAACATCGATATTATCATTTTTCTTAACTTTATTGTGCTTCTTCGCCGGCGTCTCCAACCAAATCTTGACTAACTGGTTTACTGGCGCGTCGATCACTAACCAAATTATAGTCCCAGCAATAAATGATATTGTTACCATACCTAAAACTGGCACCTAAGAAAAAATTTTTTTTTAAAACACTAAGTTGTTCAGTATAGTGCGCGCGAATGAAAATGAAAAATGAAAATGAATGAAAATTGGGGTTCGGACTACCCATCTTGCGGTCGAAGGTTCGAATCCCGCCATTCGATTGTCGTGAACCATATCCTAGCACAAGCCTACAGCTTAGTTGGAATGGTCAAAGAAAATATAAAGTAAAATTAATAAAAATCTACTGTTATTACAAAAATAGTACAAAGACCACTAAATATACAGTCGCGGAAAACAGTAGTGTACCACTAAACCCTTAATTTAATAGTGTCCAGTGTGACGATAATCTAATTAAAAAAAAAACATATTTAATCCATATTAACATATTGATATTTTATTTCCAAAGATATGACCACAAAAAAATATGTTTTTTTTTTCTACAAAAATGCTCCGTTGAATTTGGGGGTAAAGAGAAATAGCTTTAGCTATCAACGTGTCAATCTTTACCTCTTTAAAATTAATAGCAATGAGTTGAGCAAGCGAAAGGATAATCAAAATCAATCAGCGGAATACAACAATTTTTTCATACATGTTTAAAAGCTGCCTTTTGTTTATAGTTCCGTCGTCAAAATGCGTACAAATTCAAGCGACATTTTGTACATCACTATTTTTCTCGACTGTACATTTGTCTTATTAAATCGATACAAGACTTTTTTGCCATTATGAGACGCTACATTTTTACCAATTTACATTTAAATAAAACATCACTATTTTAGAGTACAATTATCTAAAAGTGTACTTACGATTGTTAACAATGATATACGAAACGGTTGCGTTGAGTTGCCTATAACAATGCGTAGAATGACTAAATGTATCAGATACGTTCCGTATGATACTCGCGCTACCCACGCCCAGCCGTCCGACTCAAAAACAGCACGATAAAAGTCTGAAAAAAAAACCGAGAATACAAAAATATAACTTAAATATAGTCTATTCCCGTGCTGCTTCATTGGCATAAAAACTAAGGGCCTGTCCCATCACTGGCTGATAGAGGCTCAGATAGCTTAAACGTCACTGTAATAAGGTATCAAAATCCGATATTTCCATCACATATTTTACACGTTGGATTGTTATCAGACAATTTAAGATTTGGTGGGACACGCCCTTAATCACACTGTTTATATTTCATAAAACTTCATTTGCAAATTAAAATGCTTTAAGGCTTTACCATTGGCTAAAAATTACCTGCGTGGCTTTTGTGCCTTTCTCGCATGACATTTTTTTACAAATGATTTACCCCTCAATTAAATAGCGTGAAAATATTTACTATATATAACATCACATAAATGTAGAGCTTTTTATTAAAAACTAGCTGTTTCTCGCGACTTCGTTCGAGAAATTAAAAAAATAGCTTATGTTTCTTGCAGATAAATTACCTTTGTAATGGCGAAAGAATAGAAGTATAGATGGATATAGATTAAATACTTACTGTCAAATTTAAAAACCATGCCTAGAATTAAAGTAGCAAACAGTGTTCCCAGCACAGGCCGCAGAAATGTTTGGAATGCCACGCGAATGTACAAGGGATAAGGAGGACCGTCCATATAGTTAAGACTGCTAAGAAGAAGCATTCCCACACAGCAAGGAAGTGTAGCCCAGTAAATAGGTAAAAGCTTCTGTAAACATGTATTTAGACAGTTAAATTAAAACAAAACTCGACTGTAACTCTAACATAATTAATTTTAATTAAGAGTTATCTTAGAAATATCACACGAATAATAAAATATTGCAACCAAAGAGATTCATAAAATAACAGTTGACGGAGGAGACGCACATAAAGAGGACATTTCCACTTCCTGTGCGTCTCCTCCACCGTCAAATCCACTTTTCCTTCCCATCCTTTCCTGGTAAGAAAAGGGTGGAAAGAGATAGGGACTAAAGTTAGGCCTCCGGCACCACACTCATCAGACGAAAGGCGAAATTGCTTCACGACTTTTTTCTGTATGATATTGTTGCTGTTTCTGTGTGGTGTTCTTCCAGTACTGCTGGGGGCGAGCCCTGCAGTGCGAAGATGTTAAAGCGGGCTCTACCACTGTTACATTTTGGAATAAATTATGAGATTTTAGGAGATGTCCATATAAAATTTAGTTACCTTATATTTATCAAGATTGAAATCTTTTTTCTGCAAATTGTGTATGAGAGCTCCGAGAGCCAATCCAATCGCGAAACTAGGAATATTAGTGTGGGATGCCATATACAGATAGTTATAAGCTGTGTCCTCTATAAACAGTTGCATTAACATCCTAAAAAATACAAAAATATTTTAACAAAAGACTTTTGGGTCTTCTGATGAGTGTTATGAACAGTCTCTTTACAGAGCGTGCGTAGATGAACGTTATGTTAAACTGCATTGTCATTAAAAGTTTTTCAGACTGAGAGCTTGAGCACAACTTGGACTGTTTAGTCACACAATTTTTTAGTCGCACGACTATTTAGTCGCACAACTTTTTAGTTGCACAGCTGTTTAGTCTCGCTTTGATTCCTATGAGCTTATATGGAGGTTACACTACTTGATCTTAGTTGTGCAACAAAACAGTTGACTGCGAAACAATCGACAATCGCATAGTTGTACGATAGTTTAGTCAAAGGTGCGCCCGTTGTATAATATAGAGCATAGTCTAAAAGAACATATAGGCTTTTTACTTTTGTTTTTAAGCCATACAAACGAAGACAGGCATGTTAGTGTTCTATATGTTTTTTAATAAATAAAAATTATAATTACCTAGGTGATATCGTCATCAGGAATGTTAAGTCGTTGAAGTATATCACCAGTCCTGTTACAACAACTCCAACGGCGAAAAACATCGCCAATACAATATTTCTCCAGTACGAGTTTCTGATTAACACAAATATTGCCAATCCTACACAGTACAAGTGTAAATCGGCAGCCAGATACCTAGCGAAAAAATAAACTATTTTTATACACATCTATACTTTTATACTAATATAATAAAGCGTAAACACTCATTACTTTGTGGCGTAGGATGTCAGCAATCACGGCATATTTTTGAATAATTCTTTCCTTAATAAAAAATCCTACAATTACGATACGCTTTGGGCTATACATTTTCACGCTATTAAACTTAGGGGGTAAATAAATTGGAAAAATACAAACATGTGGGAAAGAGACCATAAACTAAAAGCTGCCAATATTAAGGAAGCAAGGTTTAACAAATGTAAACAAAATAAAGTTTTTACAATTTTATGCGGATCAAGCCGCACAGGAACAGCTATTTTTTTAATAAAACCTCCATAGCAGAACAAACATTTGTAATCAAAATTATGAAAAAAAAAACATTTGTAAAATGGTGGTGATTAATAACAAAACAATATGATATCTAATCCATGTTCAAATTCAAAAAGGATTAAACATTATTTTATTTTTTTTTTATTTTAAAATCTGTTAAACTTGCAAAATACTAACCAAAAAGAACTGAATAACATTGTTTGAACTTAGGTTTAGAGCGCGCACATCTTTGACTGAACAATTTCACAACTGTTTAGTCGCGCTTTACTACTACAACTAAACAGTTGGGTGCGAAACAATCGACAATCGCAAAACAGTTGTGCAATAGTTTAGTCAAAGGTGTACGCTCGCAGGTTGACCAGCGTTTTACTCGGAATTTCCATTTTCAAAAGACAGAAAAATAACGTCATCCTTATCAATCTCTTTGGAAAAAGAAGAGATAGCAATAATTATTTTACCAACATATCAATCGAAAGTCACAAATAAGCCGTGATATTTTTGTATGAAAATACTCACCATGTTTGAGGCATGCATTGTGAATCGAATTTGTAGTTTCGTAAATAGAAAAAATTCCACATCCAAGAGCGCCGGCAATCCTCTATTTCTGTCCAGTCCAGCAACTGAAAGTCCAATCTCAAAGGTTACAGTGACGCTGGAATCTTATGCTGTTATCGCACACATTATCTTTAAGTAAACAGGGACAGCAATATAATCAAATCCTATCACTGTATGAATACCTACACTTAATATAGAAGCAAATTATTTGAGCAATAGAATGTCATATTTCCGTGATAATCGATACAATTTAGAACCTATGACCAAGGTCCTTAAGTCTGTTTTTCGTAAGTTCGTGCCAGTGTTGTACAATCTTGAGCAATTCAGACAATCAATAAACCAATGGTTGAAATTACCCATTCGTGTTAATATTACCTGCACTAAAGGCCCCGATGAAATAAAACGTAATAATGTTGATGTAAATGCAAGAACGACAGCAAATGACGGTGTCAATCTGGAACAAAAACACTAGCATAAATACCTATATCTGTTATTTCCAAGGCGTATAATGAACATAAATTAAAACGACTAAGTCCTACTTGAGATCGGTATTAACTTTAGGGTAGATCGCGGTTGGAGGTGTTCCAGGGCAATGGATTGAAAAAGAATTTTAAAAAGCAGCATTATTTAACACTATATGCATGTAACATCCCCCTTCC